CAAAGAGTGACATTACACATTATATCAGATTGTCAGTTAATAAATGACTTACGGTATCGTTGCATCATGAATTAAGATTAATCGAAATATAAAAATATAAACGTGCAAAAGGCAATGTTTTAATGTGACCATAGCTTAAGATCTCACCTTTTTCTCAGGAATATCAAAAAGACCTCTCGATACGCATTTTGATTTATATTCACTTCCGCAGTACTCTGCAAGAAACTTATTCTTTTGGATCCTAATTATTTCATACTCTTCGAGGTGGAAACAAAAGATAAGTGCAACCAACTATGGAAGTCCTCTAGCCAGAAACTTATTTTCGCGGCTATCCAAGGGCTAGAAGTAGTCACTCAAATAGTCAACTTATCCTTGAGGCTTCTTCTAATTCAAATCAGACTTTTTTCATTAAGCCAAAAGTGATATAAAGCCCATGCCAATTTACAAACTAGCCACTTTATTCTATGCTTTGGCCTATTGTCGGATTAACTAGACTCTTCATCCTCATATTTACTGCTAGCAAATGGATGCGCTATCCTATATATGTATGCACTTGGCGCGCCTACTAACGTCTTTAAATGTTTTAGATAGTTGTGCAGGAATTCTGAGTCGAGAGAGCCTGTTCATATTTATTTTTAGGCAAGATATTATTCAAATGGGATAAAAATCATCAGAAAATTAAGTCTAAAGAACCTTAAATCAAAAATAGTAAACTAAATTATTATATCAAGACACCACAATTGACTGGTCATCTTTTATGCACTACTCCAACACAGCAAGATTAAGAAATATGGTTTATAGGGTGTATTATTCGTGTCCTGTGCAGCAAAAGAAATTATGTAATAACTGCAAATTTTTAGTTAATCAAAATTTATTCGTATCTATAATTTTAGTAAAATGAAGCGCCTAATATAAATTCGCTAAATTTTCATCGATGTATCATAGCAATATCTTGCAAAAAAGACTGAGGACATCTTAGTATTTGGTCACTGAATCAGATTTCAGCTGATAAAAGAAGTTTGGTCGATGCCATTTATGATAAATCGCAAATTATATTTTCCCATTTAGAAGGGGCAAAAGTAGTGAATAATGGAAAATTACTTGTATTTAGGAGTTAGTAGGGTCAAACATCAGCTAAATTCCGCAACTAGAAGGGGCAATGAGTCTCTGAGGCTATAAGTAAAGCAATGACCATGTCGTCCACTATTGAAAAGAAACAAAAAGTCCTCTAAAACCAGTCCGTAAAAATGTACAATATCAAAAATAAAACGATAGAAAAATAAAGCCACATAGTATATAAGATGGCCAGTCTAAAACGGATAAATCAGAGGGGGGAAATGACCCAAAGCAGATATAATTTGAAGCGAAGATAAGTGGTGAAAAAAGACTTGACTAGGAAGGCATTAAATTATTTTCACAGCCAATGGCTGACCCAGTTATTAGTGAAAAGAAAAGAAGTTATGCCAAGTAACAGACAAGAGCAACTAAAAGTTGAATAAAATAAGGCTCAGAGTGATTCTTAGGAAAAAGTGTCATTAATATTGGTGCATGAAGTACATCTTTTATCCGATTAGTAGGTTTGATTTTTAAACAAATTCAAAGTCCTTCCTATCAAATATCATTATAGTGGAGCCTATTTTAAAAAATCGTTTCTCAAAGGAGTATTTAAAATTGAAAGAAAAAATAATATGCAGAGGCATCCCATTGAACTGGAGCAAGGGAGAAAGCAAATGCTTGCGCCTAACACAACATGGGAGAATAGAAGGATGTTGTGACCAAATGTGACTAAAATAATATTTCGTCTCTGGTTAACAGAGACTAGATCTGCCGAAGAAAAATACAAGCACAAATGCGGCAAAGACCAAATGGTTGTCATCTGTGTAAATTGTTATGAGGTTACCTGTATAATGTAGTTAATTAGCATGAATGAAATGAAACAAACAAACCAAAGTTCCACGGCCAGACCCCCCTTGCCAAAAAGAGAGCTGAAACTTAAGAGGACTAGCATCACAGATATTCTTAGTGCTACCATTGTCAGCCCTAAAACAGGACAGAAGCAAAGGCCAAGCAAGCAAAAGCATGTACATTAAAAACACGAGCTAGTGCCGACAAAATAATATAAGCAAGCATACGCTGTAGAGTTCAAACTTGACTATAGCAACTATATGACTTTTAAACAAACTGAGGCTAATGATATTATAACAAAAAATTGGCTTGAAGGAGTAAAAAGGGCAATCAATTAGAGCTAGGTAACAAAACATAATTTAGGAAAATGGAGTAACCAAGTAGATTAACATTTGAAAAATCAGATGGAGCAAAGGCGGAATGATTGTAAGATCAAATTGCAAAAAAAGTCGCACGATTCATTTGAGACCAAAATATACATTGAAAGTTTGCTAAGCTCCTTTAAACTAGAATTAATTTAAGAGACATACCTGAATGCGCATAGCTATCTTTATCTCTAGTGGTGCAGAGGAACACATCAGATAAACAAATGTTAATATTTTCAAGAAACCGTACAGTTAATTGAGGAATACTCATGCTGCCATAGCAGGCTAATAGGACAAGTCAAAGTTCAAGTCTTGATTGTGAGTAATCAGTAATCTGATCGAGAATGGATAGTGCGAAGGTGCTTACAAAAAGTATATGCTTGCATGACATAAGGAAAAATACGAAAGGCAAGGCAGGTCTGAACAGACATAAGGATTAGGCGATAAGACACCTCAGAAAGGCCCAGAAGGATAAATTATAAGTTGAATAAGAAACTTGAAAAGATGAGGATATGAAAAGATAAATTTCTGAATAATATGAACACAAGTAAAGTATAGAGACACGGTATGAGATTTCTTCGATGTGAGTAGTTTTCAGAACTCACAACGTTGTGGGAAAGATTTGATACAATTCTTATGCCCAGCTTCCATGAGCTAGGCAGGTAAGAAGGGCTTCCGAGCAGGACAAAACAGCATAGGCTCTAAACTTATCCTAAGTGGTAGCCAACCAAGTTATAAAATTGATCACTTCCTTTATTAGCTTCATTAGTAAATCGGGTATACAGGCTTCAGATACCTCGGTTCAGATATGCTCAGTAGATCCGGATCTGAGATGTCTCCGGCATTACTATGACCTTTTTAATTTATAGCCATTAGCGCTGAAAAAGATACGCCTGAAGCAATAAGAGGAGGGATTGGATCAGAAATGGTAGGGAAAGAGAAAAGTAAGGGGGAGCTGGATTTGTTTGAAGTATCGTGAACCGAGGTCATGGAGAGATTAGAGCCGATATCTCCTACTAAAAGTGCAGGAGGCAAAGTTTCACCAACTGCATCGACTTTTCCTGTCCAATGGTAACGTACGCTAGCCTCCCATTCAACAGCAACTGGATTTATGAGGCAATAATTGGGTAGCAAACTCCATTGGGGGGATGGACTGGAACCAATACCAAGAAAGGGTGAGAAAGTGGATGCGTTCGTTAGCATTATCAACTGATCGGCACAGCTTCGAATCCAGAATGGGGGAGTCGGCTGTCTAAGACGAATGTGTATCGAAAAAAAAATAGTAACAAGAAGGAGTAGAAAGTATAGGCATTTGCGCAACTGGAGCTTGTGGGATGCAGTTCGCCGTTGATTATCGCAAAGGCACCTTAATGAAATTGCATCTAATGAGGATGAGGCGCGTAGAGAAGATGGCTTAAATGTCCTATCACAAGTGCTAGTTACATAAGCCAAATTGTCATCGATACCCGTGATATGAACACGTACACAACAGCTGGCGCCAGCATTTTGTCCAGGATGGAGACTACCACTACCACTGCCTTCGAAGCAATAATTGACGGGGGGTTTCAGATAGGTTTTTTCTAGTGCATCAATCTCGTCTCCGTAGGATGAGGCATGACTGACCAAAGGCAACTTCGAAAA